GGCCCTTCAATCGTTTCCCTCTAAACGGACAGAACTGACAGGCAGCAGCTGAGCGGCCTGAAATGACTCTCTGGTGTGATCACGTGGCCTGACCTCCCAGAGCGGAAGCACAGACACAACACGCAAATCTCGGAAGGGTGCTGCTCGTGTCCAGACTGAAGTGGAGAAGGGGGTGGCTCACGGGGCTGAGGCGGGACTGAGCCCCGACGAGTAATCTGATCAGCCGCCCCAGTGACAGGGGAACGGGAGGCGAGGTCTCCAGGTGCAGGTGTCTTTCTAGCTCCCTTACGCTTGGCCCTGACGTCCGTGTCACCGCCAGGATGCAGCGGAGCAGAAACTCCACAGGCGAGGATGGGGGAAGCCCTGAGGGTTCCATCTGCAAGGCTCTCCTTCGTCCCCGAGAACCAGCCAGCCTACGACGGAACCTCTTCTTTTCCCAGGATCCAGGTGTCTCCTCTGCTTCTCAATGGAAAGGCTAAAACCAGCAAGAGAGACTTATGAAATCCCCAGAACCCGTGCAGGGAATCACTTACCCTTCAGGGATCCACCGGGGCAGAGAGTGGTCACCATCATCTGGAATCTTTAAAAAGAGACAAAAAGTGAGATCCTGGGAGAGACAGGAGGCTGCAAGCTGAGCAGTGAGCCGTCAAGTGGGAAGCAGAGAGTGGTGTAGACAGCACCGCCCTGTGCTGACAGGCAGCTGAGGTCTAAGCCAATGTCGCGGTCAGCCAAGGCAACAAGGAGGCTGCCGAGGTGACAAGCAGTGCTCGGCCTCCCGTCTTCCCAGGGAGCACAGAGGCTCTAGGGCCCAGCTCATCCAGACGCAGGGCTCGGACCACCGTGAGTGTGGCAGCTGCCAGGACACACACCCCTCACACAACCCACGGGAATACACAGCAATAAGCCGTGCCCAAGATAAGGGTCCGCTTACGCCGCCAGGCCTCCCCAAAGCAAAAGAACAACTTCCTAGGAGTCAGGTCTTCCAGCCACGTTCCTGAGACCTCGTGGCAGGGCTTCCTGGATCCCCAGGTCATCTTGGGTTTGACTTAGCTTGGATCCTTGAACCCTTGGTTTAATGACACTGAGCACACAGAGACATGGGACCTCTACCTCTTAGGCGTCTCACAGACTCTATGTAACCGGGTAACCTGGGGCAGATCAGACACTAGGGTGATCACTCTGGTGGATTTGAAGAGAATTCAGTAAAAAGTTAAAAATAATTTAAGAAAGGTATACGGCAACAACAAAAAACTTTGAAAGATTTCCACACACAAAAACCAGAGCAAGTCCTTGAGGCAGCGTGCAGAAGACAGCTTCACAGCCGCCAGGCTCTCCAGAGAAGCAGCACTGCGTGGGGTGTGGGCACAGCAGGTCCTGGGCCGGCAGGGTGGGGCTTCCTGTGGCTCCATGTGCCCTGGCACCCCTGCGACGCCCCGTGTCCTGACACCTGGGCTCTAGCTCCAGGGTAAAGGAGGCAGAAGTGGGCTGCTCAGCTCTAGACAGCAGGGTGACGTTCCAGCAGCGCTAACGGTGGGAGCAGCTATGGACGGGAGGGGGCAAGGCAGAGGAGAACAGGACAGACGGCAGGGCCAGCGGCAGATGGAAAGGTGAGCAACACGACCTGGGTCAGCAGAAGGCTCAGGAGGAACTTCAGGTTTAACATCCTTCTAGCGCTGCCCACCTCCTCCTCCCACCGCTGCTCACGGCCCGCCCACCGCCCCTCACGGCCCGCCCACCTCCTCCACCTACCGCCCTGGTTCTGTAAGTGGATGAAATTAAAGGGGGCACTAGGCCCAAAAGGCAGCAGAAGTGGTTGAAGCAAAAGACAATGGGGACAGCAAAAGAAACAGCAGTGGTGAGAGCCAGCAGAGAGACTCTGTCTCCTAGGCTGCCCGAGAGGGGTGCTCATCGCCACGCCCCAGAGCCTACCAACCAGGTCTCATCTTCCCTTCAAAAGCAGCGACTGTACCAAGCAGATTCTTACTACCCACAATCAAATGTTTGCCAGAGACCACTGGGCTTAAGGAAATAGAGTCCCAAAACGTCTTCAGAAGCCAGGGCTCATAGGTTCAGATCATGAACACTCAATGTGCGTGGAGGGGCCGCCACGTCTGAAGGAGCCTGCACACGCAGGGTGCTGAAGGGAGCCCGGGGGAGTAGAAAGAGATGTGGAAGGACCCACAGGAGGCAAATTTCAGGACACAACTCTTGCCCCAAAGGAACCACAAGGTGAGCACGGACCCTGCACTGACGGCCACAGAGCGTGTGCACACAGCCAAGTGGGGAGGACTGACAGTGGGCACTGGAGCCTGCAGTCACGTGCCAGGCAAGCCTGCTGACATGGCAAAGCAGCGCTCACAGGCCGTGGGCGCTCTGCACTGCTATGCACGAGGGCACCAGGCGAGAGGCCTGCAGAGCTGGTGCCGAGGCCACTCGCCTGCAGCCGCGCCTGCTCTCAGACGCCGCGTGTGCATGCACGCTGGGCTCAGCACGGCTCTGCAGGCACAAGGAGCGTGACACGCGGAGCACGGTGCAGAGGGCCGCCCCCATGGGCGGGGCAGTCACACTGAGGACAAGGAGAAGCACACGCATGCTAGGCTGACCCGCACCCATGCAGGCACACACATCCTCCCGCTGCGCTCCCGGGATGTCCGCAGCTGCACACGGAAGCACACGGCATGCACACGAACTGCGAGGCCCCCGTCCGGATGAGCCAGAGCTCAGAGCACGGGTCATGCACATGGCCCCGAGCTCATGAGGGAGGGGTGGAGAACAGACGACAGAAAGGGCCCAGGGGCCCGAGGCACAACCTGAAGGGCTCCTCGCTTTCCTTCTGCAAGGAGAGAAAGAGCAGAGAAAGAGGGTAGACATGTTGTTAGACTCAGTCCTCTAGCAAGGAACCGACAGAAAACGTCAGCTAAACCCATGGACAGCGAGGCCGTCTGAACACCTGGGCCGTTCACAGGGCCTGGCTGACTGGCGCCCAGAATCCTTACCTCCTACGGTGGCGGCTCCCTGCTTTTTAGTATGAACATTCCAGGGCTACTCAGACCAAAGGGCAAAGTCTACTGGAGCACTCCACAGTGGCCTGCAGCCAGGGCCACAGGAGCCGCACTATGACCAAGGGCCACCCCAACAAGCTGTCCGAGCTGTCCAAGCACAGAATGCATGGCCGCCTCAGAGGCCACGTGAGCTCCCCGAAAAGGACCTGAGAGGAGGCTCAAAACCCAGAGGCCTGGCAGCCGAGCCTCTGCATTCTGCCAAGTGGGCTTGGCCGTGAGTGCCCAGCACGTCCTGGCCTGTTTCCCAGGGCCGAGGTAAGGCCAGGACCAGGATGCTGCAGGGCTGTGGGCCCTGGGGAATCAGCTGGCCACTGCCCTAACAGGAGTCACCGGGCCTAAGGGGTAAAACACGAAGGGCTATCCCAGGCGTGACTCATTAACTGTCAAACTGAGGACAATGATCCGAAGGAAGGGACCACTTCCAGAGGACCTGAGCGACCACAGGGGGGAGAACAGAGCCCAGGTCACCCCCTTCCTGTCTGTCCGACACTGCGCTGCCTCCTAGGTCACAGGGGACAGGGCCACAGGCTTCCCTTCTGGGGCAAGTCCATCTACACTGGCCCTTCAGCCCCTCTCCGCTTGCTTCTCCCTTCCTCTTACAGACCCGCAGACAACCCATCACAAACAGGAGGGAGAAGCCAAGAAACGAATCCACAAGTTCCCGATTTTTCAAGCTATTTCTGATGACACGAGGCCTGTCCTGACAGAAGACTGAACTATGAACTAGGAATTCCCTCAAAATAGTGCAGCTCCAGGAAGGTGGGTGAGACAAGAGAGACACTTCCTGCAACGGGGACATCTCTCTCCTCTATCTAGTCCCCACCTCCCCCAGAACACTCAGCTCCCTTTGAATAAGAAAAATTAGGCAGGGCACACTTTAACTGACCCCGTGATTCCAACTGGAAACGTTTCTCTCCTCCTCCACTATCTTAAATTCATCCTACACGCCGTGTCTGAGCAACTTGGTTTGTGTCCTATTCTCTAAACCTCCCCACAAAGCCGAAAGAATAAACACCAATCTGTTGACAAGACGCCAGGACATGGCCCCAGGCCCAGCACTCTCCTCCCTTCCCCTCCTTCCTATAACCTAACTGCCCACGACAGCCTTGTTTCCTAAACAGGTCATATGTTCAAAACTCCATGTGTTGATTTACTCATTCTGTTCGATCAGTCATCAGCCTGAAATAGCACCTCGCACCTCCTTTCCACAGGATAAAATCCAATTCATCCTCCAAAGAACAGCTCTGAGAAGCCCTCCCTGATGCTCACCCAAGCAAGAATTAGTGAAGCCCTCCTACTGCACTCAGGCTAGGGAGCTCTGGCGGCGGAGCTGTTAAGGCATTTGACTGCTCATCACAAAGTTGGCGGTTTGAACCCACCAGCTGCTCCATGGGAAAAAGAGGAGGCCTGCTTCTGTAAAGACTGACAGCCCTGGAAACCCTGTGGGGCAGTTCTATTCTGTCCTCTAGAGTCACTATGAGCAGAAATCCCTTGATGGCAGTGGGTTGGGTTGGGTTTAGTGCACCTAGGAGTCCCTGGTGAGTGCAAATGGCTTAGCTGCCAACAGGAAGGCTGGAAGTTCAAGCCTGTCCACAGACAGGACAAAAGAAAGACCTCATGGTCTACTTCTGAAAATTCAGCCACTGAAAACGCTATGGACACGGTTCCCTCGGCCACACACGGGGTCGCCAGGAGTCACAATCAACGCAGTTGTGATGGAAAAAGAGGGCATCTACATTCCGTCCCTCCTCCTCCTGCTACTCAGATGCTGCATCGTGACAAATTCCACTACTGCACAGCCAGGACCATGGCTGCACCCTCAGCGTCACGTGGCATAGCTTTCCCACTCCGCCATTTTCCTAGTCAGCTCCCTTCCATGCCTCAAAGCAGTTACACCTAACCTTCAGATCCCTGTTTTACTCCAACACACACCAGTTGCCCACTGCATATCACCTGGCTAGCCCATGGTGAGTTCACATTCTATATGTCCAGACGCCACACTTAGTCCTCCAAACTCCCCTGGCCTGTATCTTACACGTGAGAGCCCAGCCATCCATCCGGTCCCTCCCTTCCCCTCCCCACCCATCCAGCCAATCACTGTGCCTTCTATATTCTACTACTTAAGTGTCTGGCATCTACGCTGCCCATCCATTTCCACGTGCTGCCGCCCTCATCCAGGCCTTCAGCATCTGGGCCACATTAAGAAACTCCAAACTGACCCCTTTACCCACCAGCCACTCCTCAAAAGGAACACTGGGCAACCTACTTCTGTAGAGATACTGCCTTGGCTTGGAAACCCAAGGAGGGGTCACTATGACTCAGGACCGACTCGATGGCAGTGAGTTTGGTTGTTTTTTCTTCTTTTTTTTTGGCCACTAGACTTGCTAGTCTGTGATCCACCCTCCACATTTTCTATTTCAAAATTCTGATCACATCTTTTCGTTGCTTAATCCCGTCAGTGGTCCCCACCACCTTTAGGATGAAATTCACATTCCGTCTTTAGCACAAACAGCTCTTC